TATTAGTTTCACCTTTTAAGTTGCATTACTGAAATAAATGAACTTTTGCACGATATTCTAATTTTTTGAGTTTCACCTGTAAGCTTTTGCTTATTTAATTTTACTATCCGATGACATGCAATCAGCATCTCATAGTATTTTGCTCCCCCCTTGCTTTGCACTGTGTGCTGCCCCCCATCACTCTGCAAATTTTCCCCCTGAACTTCACTACAACTTCTCTCCAGCTGACCTCATATGTCACCCTAGAGCAGAGATGGGCAGGGCTGCCTGTCCTTCTGACACTCAGGTGGGGCCCTTGTACAGCCTCTGTACAACAGCTGGGTTGATGGAGACACAAGGTTAACTGCAGTGAGCGGTAGGAACTGCCAGCCCCAGCCACAGGTACTGGAGGAGGGAGGAGAATCAAACTTCTTCTGCTTGCTTATTTGTAACTTTTATAATTTGAATGTGACTCTCCAGCTGCTGGGCATGCTAATGCAAAGACATAAACAGAGGGCGCACAGGCCTAGTGCATTACCTTTTTAAAAAATAATTTACTGTATAAAAGAAGTGGTAATATACTCACAAAGGATAAAATGTCAGGGGCACATCATATAAAGTACAGCAAGGTCCAATCACACTGGATGATATCTGTAATGGGATTCCTAGACCACCAACTGGCTGAAGCGTTTTGAGAACTTGCCTCTTCCTCAGCCAATTGGCATCCTCTTCTCCTTCGCCTCCTTTCTCCCACAGTAGTGCCATCTGCCCCCTACGTAGCACTGTCCTCTGTATCCCCCGCCTCCCAAAGAAGTGTTCTCTGTACATTAGAGTGGAGTGAGAGGCAGCAGTACTGGGTGGAGGGAGGGAGAGTTAATTTTCATGTCAACAAGGTGATGATTGGGTGCTAGAACCACCTAGCAACCAATCACATGTTGGTTAACTTGCAAAGTTAACTAATGCAGCTCCCGTGCTCCCACCCTCCATCTGGCACTGTTTTGCCTATCACTCTGCTCTATTACAAGAAGAGTAGTGGAGGCTGGGTGATAGATCAGCACAGCCCTGATCATTATCTGCCTGTCTGCTTTCTGCGATCAACAGGTAGATCGTGATCGACGGATTGCCTACCCCAGTTTTAAAGGTTTCAAGGAATTCCTTGAGCAATGAGCAATTTCTGTCTCTTGGATACGTTTCCACTGATCTTTTTAGCTGTCTGTAAGAGGGCAATTCTTCCCAATGACCACAAGTGTAAGGAGCATTTCCCAGTGATCGTGACACTAAGGTGTCATGAACTGTATTTTATAGTAATTTTTAGCTAGGGTGCCCTGAGACCTGTTAGTTATTTAAAGGGTTCCTCTGTGTTGAAAAGGTTGAGAGAGGCTGACTTTGATAGCAGATTGTCTGGTTATGTGACCCACGATGTTGACTCTACTTATGTGCATTGACAGGTGGTTTGCCATAGACTAAAAAAGCTGGAAAACAAACAAAGCACAGAACTTAGTGGCAGTCTTGTGCTATGGTCTTTCATCACATCAGAGGTCCTAATAACTGAGCCTTTTGAAGGTCAAGATTCAATAGCTGTGTATGTAAAACCATGTATCGTTTTTACTTTAAGGCCCCTTTCACACGGCAATTCTAATCGGGTTCGGACTTGTTTGTTTACGATCTCCGGGTCCAGTCTGGTTCAATAATGAAAAAAACAGAAGGCGATCCGTCCCCCTTTGTTTAGGTGGATAGGGGGGTAGTCGACTGTAAACAGACAGGGAGTCTGAGTCATTTGGCTACCCATAGAGCACAGCGTGTTCTGTCCATGTCCGCTCTGCATAAACGGAGCTAACACCGATGTGACATCTGTTCCAATAAGCAGAGAATCTGTGAGTGGATCCCCATCTGATCAGAATGGAATCCGCCCCTTGTAAAGGGCCTGAAAAAATTTGTTACTGAGTATTCACAATTTACAGATGGCATTAAGGAGCTTTGCGGTCTTAAAAACTGAATTGAATGTACAGCTCACTGCTAATTGTAGCTCACCCTTCTTGCAGCTGAGGTCCTTGTCATCGGATACATTCCCAACTGGAACAAATTCTCAGCAAGCAGAGAAGACTTCTTCAGAACAGAGAAAGCCAGCACTGGTGAGAGTGACAGCCTCATTCTACCCCAACACTGTGCCCAGCCATCAGCACGGAAAGCAAGGAAATAATAACATCAGAGGATCATCCCTTGACATGGCACAGGATGACCCAACATATTGTGTTGTGATGGAACCTCAGGGAGAAAGCATCACCACTATATCAAGTCATGAGATTTCTCCAATGGTTAGGATGACACCTCCATTGAGAACAACCAGTAAGATTGTCACTGCCACCTGCATGCAAATGAAAAAAGATATTCCAGATGGCAACCATGACAAGGAAAGGGTAAGCATTTATTGACAAATATAGTATTGTTTTGAGTTTGAGTGATACCCTTGATTGGCTAACCTAAATTATTAAAGGCATCTCAAACCCTTGCATCTTTAACACATTGGCCAGCCAAGGGTATCATTCAAAATTCCAAACTTTGACCAATCTGTATAATTCATGTGGTGTACTCTCCAATATACTATAAGGTAGCATTTATTAAAAGCTTGGTCTTCATTCCAGTTCTAAATGAGAGGAAACTTAATTTGTCCCCAGTGACAGAGGGACACACTGACTTTTTCCTCATTAACAGATCATGCAGAAGCCAACTTCTAGATCAGCCTTTCTCAACCTTTTTTCTCCAGGAGAATCCTTAAATTAATTTAGCATGGTCTTCCTGAGACCTGAAAATGATCCTATCAGAGGTCCGTGAAAGGAATGCCCCTTATATTGGTTAACAATTGGAAGAATGTCCCTCATAAGCCCTGTACACACAATGAGAATATCAGATGAAAGATCGTCTGTTTTTTGGGGGGGTTTTGTATACTAGTCTCATATTGAAAATGGAGCGGTTACTCCAAGTTACGAAAATAAATTCAGAAATGATTTATTGTATCTATCATATTTTTGGACAAAATCTGTACTCCTAAAAAAAAAAAAATTGTACAATCTGGTATTGTACAAGATAAATTTTCTTGCTTGTCATTTCAAATAATTTCGGACGAAAGCTGTGTGTGAACAATCAGATTATCATAGGATCCCTTCGAAAGCAGTATTTTTCGTTTGATTTTCTGATCGTGTGTACTAGGCTTTACGGAGTTTACTGTAATGCCACCATTAAGACAGCACAAAAGATTATGATTTCATGCAGCTGGCTCTGCCAAGTGGTGCACCATCAAATAGAAGGTTAATCGGCCACAGCTCAAGGAACCCCTACCAACCTCTGGATGAACCCTAGGGTTCCATGGGACCCTGGTTGAGAATAGCTGTTCTAGATCACCGACTCTATTGCTAGCACAGTGTCCAAATCTAGTTTACAAATGATAATGAGATCTACCAGCACAGTATAGACAGAATTAATGGAGGGCCTCTGCAAGACGGAAGAAAACTTCAGCTTTGAGTTTTCAGAAAAGCATAAATAAGATTTAAGCAGCGATTTCTTTTTTTTTTTTTTTTTTTCTTTTGTTATTTGAATGAGAACATGTAACAAATAGTCTCTCAGGTGCACATATTCAACTTTCTTTCAGTCTCCTTCCACTCCATTCACTTTTGGCAGTAAAGTGGCTTAGGGGTTAACACTTCCTACTCACTACTTGTAGCACTAGGGTCTTCTTAGTCTAAGTCCCAACCAGGACCTTATTGCCATGCAGTTTGCATGGCCTCTTTGGGCTTGTGTGGGTTTCCTCCTACCCTCAAAGACATGCTAATACCTAAATTGGCTCCTGTCCAAATTAGTCCGTGTGTGTGTGTGAGAGAGTGAATGTGAGTTGGGGACCTTAGATTGTAAGCTTCTGGAGGGCAGGGACTGATGTAGAATGTACAATATGTAAATCACTGCCTAATATGTTTTAGCTATCTAAATACCTGTAATAATAATATCATGAACATTTCTGTTTCTGATTCAGGAGAGATCAGAGGTCAAGACAAACTCTGCCCTGCAACTTGATCTGCAAAGAACTGCAGAGAAGATGAAGACCTCTGCTTCCAGTGCAAGGTAATGCTTTATCCTCTCTAGTCCAATCACAAAATAGGCTGTATGTGTGCTTTTTAGTCATTGAAGCTACAGTTTCCACCTGTAAGTATTGCTTCGGTTTAGAAATTAGAGGCTCTTTCGCTTTGCTTCTAACCCTTTAGAGTGAATGCAAAAGAAATCAAGGGGATGCATTTCATGGGCTTTCTGATAATGTGGTGGCTGTGGGTGGAGGTCATCATGTGATCAGAAGCATGTCCTACTGGCTCCCAATCATCACTCTGTGACTAGGAGCTGTCTAAGACAATGCAGTCACAGTGATTGAGCACAGAAGAGCAACACAAATTTTCGGCAGTACCTTTGTACTGCCATATTTGTACCGCCTATGGAAAGGGGTTAATAAGAGACTGTAGCTTTGCCTATTAGCCAAAGCCTGTGCCTCTATAGACAGCTTTGCGGTACTCCCTACTGTTTAGTTGTTCTGTTGGAGCCATTGCAAATACGTAGTCTTTCTACATATAAGCAGTGTGTGACCCTTTACCAAGATGAAATGCCCAGTGCTGAGTGGCCAATCAAAAGATTCAAATGCTGTCACCTGAGGTAGAAGATGTCATCAACCCTGTGTAAGCTCTAAAACCCCCCAATGTGAAGCTTACCCTAAGTTTAACTCCCTTCTGACAGCGCGACGCAAGCAGACAACTGTCAAAATTAGGTACTCCTGGGGAAAAAAAAAAACTCCAAAAGTGGGAGAGATGGGGGAAATAAAATAAAGTGGAACCTTCCCTATGCAAGGGCAATTATGTTGAAATATGAAGGCCACATACCTTACTTTTAGGTAAGGGAATTATAACTGAAAAGAGTTTTAAAACTGGAGGAAAAATAATGTATTCTTTAAATAAGCATGAAATGTATATTTATTGCAACTGATGTAAATACCTGAATTTGGATCCAGGCTGGAAGAGGGAGAGCAGAGGGATGTGTTCATCAGTCTGCTGCTTCTCCTTCATTGTCCAGTCTTGGGCAGCAGTGGAGGAAAGACGGACTGTGGACTGGCTTTGCTGTCTCGAAGGGCTGTGAAAATCCCAGGACTGGTTAAACAGGAATTGGCAAGAAAAACAGGCCCCATATAAATATTGTGTGTGTATATAACTGTTAATAAAGAGTTAAGTCTTGGTCCTATAATAGCTTGTACTTTAATGTGTAGAGTTTAATTGGTTACCTGTTCATAATGTACAATGCTTCCATTTCCTCTTAAATATTTAAAAAAAAAAAATTTATATTTCAGCCCTGCTACATCCCCCGGGGGTTTCAGGCGACTGTCAGATGAGGGTTTTACCACTCCAATAGAAGGGGAGAGGGAGCGAATTATCAACTTGTCCTATACTCTTGCTACAGAGGCCTCGGAGCGCAGCAAAATTATCACAGGTAGTTTAATTTTGGGTGAACGCAACATGAAATATTTTAGAACTTTTACATACAGTGACAAAGGACTTGACCATAAAACCTTTTGCACCTCTGTACTTGTCTTGTGTACTTGATCTGCCTCAAGTGTACCTGCTTACCATTCACTGTTTTGTTGGCTGAACTATTATCTCAAAGCATGACATTATTCCCAAATAAGCAGAAACATTTGCTGTGGTGTGATCCACTTTGTTCCCCATACATCTGTAGTTTAATAGATTTGTCTGATTTCTTAACTCTCCAATTGAAAGGCTATTACATTAAACCTGTAGCAAAGACCAATCTGCCAACACCCACTTAATTTTGTTTTTGGGGTTTTTTTTTATTGGATAAATTTGGGAAGCGTTATGACTGTTTAATATCTATTTGCAGGGAATAATTACAAAGAAAAAAAATGTCCTTATTGACCCACTTGGCGTCATTCAATTTATGGGTGGTTAAGCATTATATGCAGGCAGATGTTATATGTTCGTAGTCCCCTCACACTTTACATGCTGGGACATTGGTTCGTCTACCTACTTGCACTGGCTTTTGTTGAATTACCTGCCTGGAGTGCATGATACACACATTTAGCTATATTTTTGTCTACTGAAAATAAGCTGTTGGGACTGAATATATTATCTTGCTGAGACTTGTGATACACCCGCTGATTCATACTGTTGGTTTTTCATCAGTATTTTTGGAACTTGTCATAGTGACTTCAGCCTGGGTTCACACAGGAGCTGTGCGGGAAAACTCATGTGATTCGGACACGAATTGCACTGCATTCCTGTTCAAATCCACATGCGATGCTTTTCAGTGGAGAGTGGGAGGGGGTAGAAAGAGAGGCGCCAAGCTGCCAATAGTGCAGTGGAGTTTTTATTGTATATAAAATAAAACCAATAATATCCACTCACAAACATCCTGGTGTGACATAAAGACAGATGGTCAATCAGCCAACATCAGCCTGAATGATGAAGGTGGTGTGGCCTCCAAAACCTGTTCATATTGGCTCACAGAATCTAGGCTTTTGACAGCTCCATGGACAGTTTTTCCTGGGTCTCCTGCAGTGGCTCCTTGGCAGCTCATCCAGATCCATATCCAGGCTCTGACTGCTCTACTCTGATCCCAGCGATTGTGGCTCCATTTGGACTCTCATGTTGGCTCCTGACCATCTGTATTTGTCTCACTCATATTATCTGCTTTTTATTTTATACAATAAAAACTTCACTGCACTATTGGTGGCATTGGTATTGGTGCAATCCTAGCATATACCATCATCAGTTGATATCCTCAAAGATTACGTACTTTCTCCCAACTGAAGAGATTTCACTTCTATTCTGCCAATCATGGAGGAGTAATACCCAAACTAGGGCCACAGACAACAATAAACACCTGACAGACAATAACACATCCTACACACACCCTACAAATCCTGTTGGTATTAATTCTTACATATTGTGTTTTATTTTGTCTTCTCCAGCCAAAGCATTAGCTGAAGACTATGATGCAAGCAGTGATATCTCCTCTTCAGATGAAACCTATCCCTGGGACTTCATTATGCAAGATTCCTGTAGCAGCAAAACATCTGAAGCCAAGACTTACCAGTTCAAAGCCACTTCCAATCCACATCAAGAGGAAAGAACCTCCACCAACAAAGATGGAAGCTCCTCTTCAGCAATTGTCCCAAACCAGCAGAGTTCTGTTGGAGCTTCTAGTCCTGATACTGCCAAAGACAGGCCAAATAAGCGCCTTTTAGACCATCTTCATTATGAGAACTGGCCTGGCCATAAACATGATGGAAATAAAAGTCACTTTCCAGCCACAAAACAGGATAGCAGTGCTCCAGCCAAGTGTAATGGACAGGTGGCCAAATATGATTTCCTCATAGAGGACTTGCATTATAATCCATTGAACCTGGGCAAAGTCACTGACTATTGTAAGGAGGAAAGAGAGCCCATCCGGATTACACTTCTCCAGTCCAGCTTCTAAATTGTATGAAGATACTTTTGATCTTGTGAATAGACTTCAAAAGGGATGACATGTGAAGTACAGATGGACCTTGCAGGGCAAAGGCTGTTTGGTTGTAGTTGGCACAGTTTATGTTGAACTGAAAAGCAGTATTTTGAAGGCTAATATTGGAAGTTGTATATGAAAGTGGTATGTTGTAAAGAACGTCTGAGGATGTAAATAGGTGTATTATAAGGAATCTCCAGAAGAGTTTAGGAGGTGATGGTGTACAAATGTTGATAGAGATAAGGAATTGAAGAAAGTGCCATGGTAAATCAATGAACGTGCTGCTGAATGTAGAAAGAAGGTGAAAGAAAGAAACCAGCACTTGCCAAGTATCAGAAAATGTTGTCATGTCTACTAGTGGTGATGCAACCTTAGTATAAATTGAACCGATTTGTGAATTATTTTATAACCTCCCATAGGGACTATTGCACTAACTGATCAGGTTACACTAGAGAAGTAACAGCAAGAAAACTGGAAGTGTTGAGCCAGCAGATTATTTTGTAAAATTTCACACCTGGTCCCAAAAACTGACAGTTCTGTTTGATTGGCTGCTTTGAGCAACACCTCTGTTTTTCCTTCTATTTGATTATAGAAAAAACAAGTTTTTGTATGTAGAAAGTGACACTGTGAAGTGGGCACACAGAATGAAGAGCATTTTATGTTTGTCCCTGAAACCTTTTTCAGTTGGTTAAACTGGCAGTGATATTTTTAACTGTTTTTATTTAACTGTCAAGATTCCGTTTACTTAGAAAAAAAAAAATACACTCTGTTATATAGAGTAGAAGGCTATGTTCCAACATTTCTGGTTAATTCCATGTGTATTCCTGGTTATTTCATCTGGGTTGTCATGTTATCTAGTGAAAGTTACAGAAGGCCTTGCAAGTTCTTCTTCAGGCAGCGAAGTTAAAGTTGGCCTATAGGACTGGCTTATTTAAACTGAAACAAAAGTGGAGGAGGTGTCCATAGCAACTGTGAATAATCAGATTCCTTATTTTCCTTTTAAAAGTTTGAAAGACTGAATTAACCTGGTTAGGGGTTGTGGGTAACGGCTCCACTTTGCTTCTGTGTACATAAATAAACCCACTTGATTGTTGGTTTGTTAAACCCATCTTATTAACAAATGTCTAATGGTCTGTCCAGTTGGACCCAATCTGAATAGATAAAAGCACAAAATCCTCTTACCACAGAATAGCAAATACTCTAAGGTGCCTGTTTTATTTTCTAATTCACTCCCTGCCGACCCGCTACCACTTCTTGCCTCCCATAATTCAGTGCTTGGCACCTGATTGGGCAGATGCTCCGGTGCCCAACACTGTATTATGGAAGGCAAGGGGGAGACCTTTGTTAGCTCTGCAAAAGTCTCATCTCTCTCAAAAAGTGTATGAGCCTCCAGCAGCAAGGGAGTGAAGTAGATTTCAAAGCGGAAGTCTAATGGCACTGGCTATGCAGTAGTGGCTTGGATTTTATTTTACTTTTTTTTTTTTTTTTTTTTTTTTTTTTTTTTTTTTTTTTTTTAATATCCCTACATGGTCACCTTGCCATGTCCGTTTTCAGCTTTTACAGTTCGAGGTCCACATAGAACTGGCCCATGGTGTCCTCTTTTATAGGGACAATGTTTTTTTTTAGTTAGTGGACCAACCAGGTGACATGACATAACCTGTTATCTTTTTAAACCTCTTTTTATACATATGAGAATACCTTTTGGTGTTTTTTTTTTTTTTTTTTTTTGTTGTTTTTTATGTTTATTGCAGTGTATTAACCAGTGACCTTTTTATATTTTCATCTCATTCTATTAAGGGCTTGTGTAAGTTACACATGAAGACATGCCCTATTTTCAGTGTGCCCTTCTAGACTTGCCTTTACATAAGGTTGTATACTATTATTATTTTTTATACTTGTCACTAAACATAATTAGGACAGTTGCTGCCTTATTAGCATGTCTAATAACTATGCTGTAGCCATTCCTTGTAGAATTCTCCTTAATTGTCTCATACAAGTTTTTGTTATTTTAAAATACCCGCAGAGCTGTAATGACCATTGCTTGGTTCTTTGATAAAGGAGAATATTGAAACCTGCAAGGGGATGGCTCTAAAGCTTTAAGCTGTTCTATGCAATACTGTAATATGCAAATAAAGCAACAAAATATGTATCGGCTTCATTTTCTGTTCTCTTATTCTAGACATGGCTTAAAAACCAAATTGTACAATGATGTATCATCCTTTCCAGCACTTCCGGTATAGAATTCTATGGAGCAACTCTCACTATTTCCCTAGTTATACCTCCAATGAGTCCAGTATAGTTCACACAGGTAGTATCGAGCATTCTAAATGTGCTACCTGGTGATGATCTAGACCAGTGTTCCACAACCTTTTTCCAGTCAGGGTGCCCTTGAAAAGCATTTTCAGTCTTGAGGCACTCCAGTCTAATGTTTGGTTTTGTGTGACACGCAGACAAACATACTGCTCTTTAGTAGACACGCATGGGTGCTATTAATTCTTAATGGTATGCCCAGGCACTGGCAAACGTGGTGCCTTTTAAGAAAAAAAAGGGTCAGGGACTTCTTTCCCTGCGTTTCTACAGGTAGGGCAACCAACTGAAATTAATGGGCTCTCCTACAATACAGATGTAGGATTTGCAGATGTGTACCAGGGGCTCATTCATACAGGAGGTTGGAGGCGGTAACACCACATGGTTGAGCAATGTTTATCACCCCAAACTACTCCATCTTTATGTGCAGAGGCAGCAGCCAGGGTGAATGTGGCTGCCCTGCAACCATATGTATTGCATGTGTTTGTGTTTGCAGCACAGTGATGCTGCATTTAGAGGGTTAAAACAGACATTGAAGAGAAGACAGATCACCTCTACACTACCTGTCAAATGCCTCTAAAAAGCGATCCAAGTATGTACTTGCCGCTATAATAAACAACTCCTAATCCTGTATAGTCAGAACTGCTTTTTTTAGGGCTTATGATTCAAAGTAACACATATATTATATACTTTTACTTTTCATTGACCGCACAAGTGGGGCAGATTCATAGCCACTGTTCAATCCAATAAAGGCTCTCGAATCTGCCTACTGCTTTACGCAGTCGCTCAAAAGTAAAGTGGACCTGATGGGGAACTAGTCTTCGTTCCCAATCAGGCTTTGTCCACCTAGTGGCATGTAATTTCCAAAATATGGTCATTGCCCTTATTTGGGTGATGACACACCTGTATCCCCATTTACATCTAGCTTTTGGCCAGGACAGCTAAATAGGGGCCGGAGATGCAGCTCTCTGTGGGAAGCTGCCATATACATGATCGCTTCCCAGCACAGGGAGGCTCACTCAAGAGTTTTGGCATGCCTCAGCTCAGAGCCAGTCTTATTTACCACTAGTTTCCTAATTTGAGAGCTGGCAGTAATTTTTTAAGAATTTGTCACTGTGACGGGCGCGGCGTCAGACCCCCAGCCCTCCTCACCAATTTGTGACCAAAGGACTAGCCAATCTAAAACCACGCTGTCATGTGCGTAACAATGCCACGCTCAGCGAAACTCTGCACAAAGATTCTCCAGCTAATGGACCACAATCTATGTACTGCAGCCTGAGAGTGATTGTTACTGGGTCAGGTTAATTACACAATTAACCCTTTACACTGCCACCACCACCTTTTTGTACAGAGTAGGAGGAAACCCGACAATCTTCGCAGTAACACTACGATGTTTGAATAAGTGTCTGTATACACACTGTCACCGCAGGCAGATGTATGCAGAAGTTTAAAACACACAGTAGCGCTCTTCAGAGACAGAGATTCCTAGTTTGCATTAAAGAGCTTTAGAAACAGTTCAACACTTTTCAGAAAATAGGATTTATTACTAAAAAAGTAAAAATGGTGCGATAAAAATATTTACAGAAAAAGATGTAGTGTGTGTGTGTATATATATATATATATATATATATATATATATGTGGGTACCGTTCTCCCAAGTTGGTTCCTGATGTTGAAAAGGGAGAATTCTTCATCTTACTTCTCCAAGCCTGACAACCTCTTTTCTAGGAACCCAGCAGGGTGTCTCCTTAAAGCAGAGAACCAATCGCCTCATTTGGGGAGGGGTATTTAGGCGGGGACCTCTGCTATGACCAGATCCCTCTCACATTTATACCATGGTCAATAATCTTCCATAGGTACATGGAGCATCCTATCCACTGGTAGGGTAATATGCAGAATCATCTGCTGAACGTCTAACCGTCAGATCAGATATGTCATATCTACCTCTGACAGTTAGAGATATCGCTTTCTGCTCTCGGGTAGATGTAATCTAGGGGTGTAAGATATCAGGTGACTCGCATTAAACTGAGCTATCCGAATATATGCTTTGTTCGATTGTATGTATTCCCTATTTTAAGTTATGAAACATGGTTTTTTAAATGGGATGTATGTTTTACAGCTATTTTGGAATGTGTTTCATGTCCAGTGAAGGACTGGTTTATAGCTTTACGATCATCTCAGATCGAGAAGCTAACCGACACCCAGGCACCAGCTAATGGGGATTACAACCATGAAGTGTATCCAGCTGTGCCTGATGGCCTTGTGTACCCAGCACACACACGCCACATTCCTGAAAGAGGGGGATTGGAGGGAGAGAGAATATGACAAGATGGGGAATCTTGAGCAAGATGGATGACCGTGTCCATATCTGTGTGCACAATTGCTACAGTCACTATTCTTAATGTAGAACTATAGGCAAAATTTTTTTTTTTTTTTGTTGTGGGTTTTTTTTTCTCATTTTGGATGGAGTAAGGAAGGGTTATAGCCTCCTGTCAGTTTTTTTGGCATCTGTGTCCCATTGGGGGGAGTTCCCTTCACTTCCTTTCCCATAGCCAAAATAGGAAATAAGAGGAAATCTCTACAAATTAATGAAATCTCTTGTGGCCCCCAAGTCACCAGAACAAGTGTCCCCATAGGAAGACTTCCCCTCTATTACTTTTCTGGGGACA